ACACACACACACACACACACACACACACACACACACACACACACACTTTACCTCTCTTTGCCTGACCCCTTCAATCCCCAGCAAAGTGTCTGCACACTCCATTTCTTCCTTTTGTACTCTGTGAGACTCTGTTTTATAACCTATAATTTCATGAACTTCATATCTTTCATTTGGACTTCATGTCTTTTTAGTGGTTTTTCTTGTCGATTTTCTCATGCTTAAGTGCTAAGGGTTTTTTTTGTTGTTGTTGTTGTTGTTTTCTGTTTTTGTAAGAGTGTGTTGCCAATAGTACTCACATATGCCATTGGCAACTATCTCTCTGCTAGCATTCACTTATTTCATTTTTTCTTATTTTCTACTCATCCACTACGGAAGCCAAGAAGGTTCACTTTTATCTGCTCTGAGCTCTGCCTCTATGCCCTTGAATGTTTCTGTATCCTTATGCCTCCCTGTCTTTTCTCTGTGTCTAGAGCTTCACTCAGCTCTCTTTGCTCTGGGTAAGATGAGACCTGCCCCACTCCATACCTACCGTTATAACATACTGTCATTATGTAATACGTAATATACAATATATATTATACAATATACCTTATACTTTTGAGATTTATTATCAGAGCGAGAGAGGATTTTTGCTACACATTAAGAAAAACACACTACTTAAAATACTTGAAGACATTTACTGGTTTAGATGTACTATAGATATGCCCCGGGACATATGATCTGTGTCTCCCTGGGGCACTGCCCAATCCTGTCTTGAATTTAAGATGAAGGGAAGTTCTTCAGAATTTGGTTGCTGCATTTTCTCAGCACTCTGTGAATTCTTCCTCTGGCAAGTTATTTCCCTGGCCTTTATTTTATGTGGCTTTGTTCTTTGGTTTCTCTCCAATGTGGCATTGTCTTGTTGAGCTCTCTGGTTCTCAGATGGAGGTTCTGAGCATCTTCACAGGGGAGGTCTGGATCTTGTGTCCCTAGGAAGTCCCACAGGTGTCTTGTAGTGAATGCATGACCACCAGGCCTACAGCTGGTGTTGATCACCTGTCTGAAGGCAGATGGTCTCCCTTCATCTTCCTCTTATTCCCTGGAGGTCGGCTTTCCCTGTAGACCCTTGGGCAACAAGTCACACACCCCAGTAATTGCTTTTGCTGCTGTGCACAAGGTTGTGTTCAGCACTTAGATCAGGTCTGGACATCTTCAGTAACACACAACAGAGAGAGTGAGAGAGAGGCTGATTTGGATTCATGGATCTTTATTGTGTCCAGGACACCACTCTTGACTCAACTCTTTCATTCTTCCTGAATGTCTTCTACCAAAGGCCTGTAACCAGAAGCTGTGTGATGTGATGGCCGTGGGTGTGGTCCATGCACTCTGAATCTGGTAGGAGAGGGGTAGACCAGGAGGCAGAGGTGGGGCAGGTCTTCCTAGAGTATGTGCACATCTCATGTGTTTCCTTAGACAAAACACACCTGGAATACTAGTCTGTGCAGGTACAGCTCTTTTCAAGAAAAGCCAAGGGGAGGGACACCTGGGTACTCAGTCAGTTAAGTATCTGCCTTCAGTTCAGGTCATGATCCCAGAGTCCTGGTATCAAGTCCTGCTTCAGGCTCCTTGCTCGGCGGTGAACCTGCTTCTCCCTCTGCCTGCCACTCCCCCTGCTTGTGCTCTCTTTCTCTGTCAAATAAATAAAATAAAATAAAATAAAATCTTTATTTATTTTTTAAAGATTTTATTTATTTATTGGAGTGATACAGAGAGAGAGCTAAAGAGCACAAGTGAGGGAGAAGGAGAAGCAGACTCCCCACAGAGCAGGGAGCCCGATGTGGGGCTCGATCCCAGGATCCTGGGATCATGACCTGAGCCAAAGGCAGACGCTTAACGACTGAGCCACCCAGGCGCCCCTAAAATAAAATCTTTAAAAAAAGAAAGAAAGAAAGAAAACCCAAAGGGAACAGAGCTATCACTTTTCCAGGCAGGTTGTGGGAAGTTACACTCCTCCCTCAAACTCCACATCCCAGAAAATAAAGAGGAATCATGAATAGTCACAATGGCAACAGTTTCCAGTATGAGCTCTTCTGAAGCAGGTTTTGGAGAGACAATGATATACTCATTCTCAGGCTTGCTGGAATCTAGATTGGTCAAGTTCCTCTGGATATTCCTAGTTTCTGTTTCCTCTTTTCTCTTACTCAGCCTTGACCGTGTGGTCCCTCACTACTGACAACACTAGGTCTCCCGTTCCTTTCTTCTCAGGGCTAAAGTAAATCATACTGGAATACTCCAAGACCAGGTCAAGTCTGGCCTCCACATGGACCATGGGCAGGTCTCTTAGCCTAACTCCACCTCACTTGTCCCATCTGTAAAGTGGGGATGACACTAACTGTCCTGCTTACCCCAGGGTCTCGTGAGAGTATCAAATTAGACAGTGCCTATGAAAATATGGTACAAGTTGTAAAATATTGTGCAAATATGTGTGGGTAAAGCGGGGCCTTGTCCCTTTCAGGGATCTGCTTAAATGGAGGGACATGGAACGGGAAGGTCTGTGTTTGCCCCAGCGGCTACCAAGGAGACCATTGCGAGAACAGCGTCCCGATCTGCAACAATGATGGCCACTGGGATGGGATCAAGTGTGTGTGCACTAACCTCTTCCAGGGGCCGAAGTGTGAGGAGGTGGTCCCCAGCATTGAGATAGGTGAGTAAGACCTCAGGGCCCTGCTCTCCCCAACACTGGGCCTCCATTCCTGTCCCTCTGCATGTCCAGGAATATGGCCTCTTCTGGGGGCAACCATTTTACTCAATGGTAAGAAAGTTGAAACATTAAAAAATGAATAAAGCAAGAAGGTATAGTTTGGAACAAAACACAAATTTGACACAGAATTTTACCATAAAATACACCTAAGATAAATGAGTGTGTGATGGGGGAGAATACAAAAAGTGTGTGGAATTCTCATAGAGAATGTAGGACCCGAGATCCCCTGGGCTCAATTCCAAAGCCATGAGGAGTGCGGTGTACTCCCCACCCTCCAAGGGCACTCTGGTGAGACCTGAGTGGGGGGTCGTGGGTGGTGGGCCCAGGCCACTCCCCTGCCCAGGGAAGAATTGCTGGAGTTGTGGGTCTCCTTGGGAGGGAACTCGGGGTGAGGGGTTGGCTCTGTCCTCAGTAAGTGGTGCTCCTGTCTGACCACCTCAGAGCCTCCACCAGAGACTGTCTCTGCCCAGATGGAAATGACCGTGACAGTGACCAGTATGGAGTACACCAAAGAGCTAGAAGACCGGAATTCTGTACAATTCCAGAACTTCAGTGAGATATTCACAAAAGAGGTGAGCCTGGGAATGCAAGTCCCCGTGGGCCACTCTGTTCTCCCTAGGGAGGAGTCTCTAGAGGTGAAGAAAGCAGCTGAGGGCTGTTCTCTTGTTATAGGCTTGTGAGTTTCTCAGCTCATTCTTTTCCTCAGGGTTTGCCAGAGAGCTTGTGGAAAGACAAAGCAAGTTTCCATGAAAGGGGAATGGGGGCCCCATGGGTGGGGCTGGTCTCTGAGGAGGGACTGCTCCATCGGGACAGTGTGGACTCCTGACAGGGAATGGGGGAACACAGCAGGTGTTGGCCTTCCTGAGTTCCTATGGAAAGACCTGGCAGGCTCCAAGTTGGGGCCTGTGGGATGACACTGTGACCTCCTTGCCTTTCAGATGAACATAGTTTATCTTGGAATCCCTGAGTATCAAGGGGTCAACATCACAAGGCTGTTGTAAGTATCTGTGGCTCCTGGGAAGAAAGTCTTTGGAGTGGAAGCAATAGTCATAATTATAAAGACAACTGTAACTCTGCCTCTATATTAGTTGGCTAAGGCTTTCATAACAAAATACCCCAGACCAGGTGGCTCAAGCAACAGAAATTTATTTCTCATGGTTCTGGAGGCTGGCAGTCCAAGATCAAGGCGTTCAGTGGGTTGGGTTTCTTCTGAGTCTCTCTTCGGCTTGTAGACAACTACCTTCTTGCTGGGTCCTCACACAGTTTTCCTCTATTCAAGCATATCCTTGGTGTGTCTTTGTGTGACTGAATTTCCTCTTCTTTTTTTTTTTTAAGTTCTTGTTTATTTTTTTTAACAATCTCTACATACAACATGGGGCTCGAACTCATGACCCTGAGATCAAGAGTCACATGCTTTTCCAACTGAGCCAGCAAGGACCCCCCCCAAATTTCCTCTTATAAGGACACCACTCAGATTGGATTAGGACCCACCCCAACAGGCTCATTTTAACTTAATCACATCTATAAAGGCCCTATCCCCAAATACAGATGCATTCTGAGGTACTGGGGGTTAGGGCCTCAACACATGAATTTTGGGGGAACACAGTCCAGCCCATAACACACTCCAAAAACTATGGTTTCACAATATATTTTCAAATTTTGAAGCTCTAATCACCCTGTGAGTGAGGCCAGCAGGACTGTTCCCTTTGCACAGATGAAGAAACAGAGACCTAGAGACAGGCATTGAGTTGCCTGAGGGGTCATTTACGGAGTGGGAGAGCCAAGAGCTCTCACAGAAGTCCTCTTATGCTGGAGACACTGACACACAAGAACACCTGCAGGTTACAGCTTGTGTGATGGACACCCCACTTGTCTTCAGAGATGAAGCCCAATAACTTAACTCGGGAGGAAACCCCAGGGAAAAGTGTCCAAGTCGACAGGTGGCCGGTATTCACTCTTACTCACCTCCCACAAGATTCTGCCCCCACAGAATCTCAGCCCCATTATCAACCTCGACTTTTTGAAATGTTGAGAATGGTGCTGGCCAATGAGGTTCACAGGAGTTGCCCAGCCTCCCCCAGATCATGAGGGAGCTATCGTTCCCATGGTTTACAGAATCGTGATAATTTTCAAGAGGAACTTAGAACCAGTAGGGAGGAAGTTGCACAAAAATCACAGGGAGGGGAAATGTGTCTGTCAGCCTCTGTTTTTCTTCCTCTCTCAATTGTGTTGAACCCAAACCTTCTCTCTCAAACAAGAGAGGCCACCCCAGGTGGGACCATATGGGCTTGCCATGCCCCCTCCTTGTGGTCTGTGAGCACAGCAGGTGCCCCGTGTCTGCTTTTCAGCAGCTCAGCTCCCCTGGAAGAGAAAACCATTTTTCTTTCTGGTCCTAAAACTTCCTCTCTGGGTTTGGCATGTGCTGACCCCGTAGAGCTCTCTCTTTCCCCTGGGGATGGGCAGTCTGTGGGTGCAGATGTCATCCTTCTTCTCTACATGTCTCTCTCTATCTCTCAGGCAAGAGAGGGAGGACAGGCTCTGTGGATCAGGTATTTTTACATTCCTGCTGGGTTTTCTATCTATGTTACCACCTTTGGTCAGATAAGAGGAGACAGCTGGGCTCTGAGGGCTCCAGAGAGATCTGGGAGTGGGCAGATAGGAAGTGAGAATCATTCACCTCGGAAGTATGGAAGGAAGAATCCTAGGAACCATCTATCCTCATGTTACAGAAGAGGGAACTGAGGCCCCATGGGGCCAACTGCTGGTCCAAGATCAGCCGGCTACTCAGGGTCAGTGTTGGGATTTCCTCCTGTACCTCATAGCTCCCACTACACCTGCGTGGCCTTGATAAAGCCGTCTTTCTCCGTGGGAGCTTTCAAAACGGGGACTGAGGACAGTGATGGACTCTGGGAGATGCCAGATGCCACCACCACATGGGTTTCTTGACCACATGTCTTTATTGTGAAAGATGGCTTTGAGCTACAAGATCCTCTGGTCCCCTCTAACTCATTCTAGAGGTTATTTGAATTCCACTCTTCTATATGTTATATACTATGAGTATAATTATTATCTCATTTAACTTTATTATTCTGTATTATTCTATTCCTTATGTTGTTCAGGAGTAAATCCACACTCCCCCAATCTTCTATTTATGTTTGAGCCTCTGAATATAGTGGTAAGGAGAAAGCAAGGGAAAAAGAGTGCTTTGGGCTTCCATTACTTAGGAATCTTGAATTGTGAGCATGGGAAGTCTGGACTTGTTGCTGTATTTTTAAACCCAGAAAGCTCATTCCTGGGGTGTAAATAATCTCTACACCCACGTGAGAGAGAAGTAACTTGCATTCTAGAATAAGATCTTATTGACTTCCAAGTATTTCTGATCCTGTTTTGCATACACAGAAGATGTACTGCTTTGGGGATTTGGAGCTAGGGGAGAGAAAAGGAAACAAATGGAAGCTGTTAGCGTGTCTGAAGTCACGCTTTCTTGGTGGCCTTGCCCCTGGCTTCTCCTAGCTCCTAAGCACAGAGTAGGAAGAGACTGTCAGCTAGAATTTTAACCTTTTAGGTGTCAGAGATTCATTTTAGAATCGACACAAGTGTATGTGAGTAGAAAATATGTACATATGAGCTTCAAATCTGTGCATGCTCTTAAGAGGCTCACAGACCTTCTGCAGCCTTCCACCTAGCAATTTTTGAATCCTGTAAGAGTCTCTGGTGTCCTCCTACCTCTTGAGGACACCTTGCCGGCAGCTGCCCAGTCTCCTGTTGGAATGCATCTGATGACACCTTGAGGATGATCTTCCATGGTCCCATCCCTCTGTCCATCTTTGCCCTTGAACCTTCCGAGACTTCCACACAGAGCTGCCTAGAACTTAACCTTTGAGACAGTTGTCAGAGGCGCAAGTCATGGTTTGAGTCCTGTGGGGAAGTGACTAGCACTGTGCCTGGAATGAGCCTTCACCCAGGGGACTCCGAGTCATCACTTCAACCATCTTCCCCCAGCTCTGCCTTCCCATGGGGACAAAGAGGGCATATCCTGCCTGGGAAAAGGGGTTGGAGAAGTGAGCACCTATTATGACCTGGGAGGATGCTCATGGATATCTTTTTCTCTCCTCAGTGCTGGCAGTATTGTGGTAGAACATGAAGTCATCCTGAAGACCAACTATACCCCAGAATACAAGGAAGTTTTAACTAAGGTCACCCAGGAGGTGAAGGAAAAAATCCAGAATGTAACCAAGGAGCAAATAAGCAGAAATAATACCTGCAAATGTAAATTCCTAGGCTCCTGGGAGGGGCTTGAAGGGGTCGTCAAGGAATCTTTAAGCTTTGTCATCCTTGGGGTGGGGGAAGGGGGAAAGGCAGGTGTACACGCAGGCTACATCCTGTGGGGCACCAGTCTGCGGGGAAAGTGAGAATAAGCATGGCTTGTTATGCGGAGAAGATTCTTCTGAATGTAATGAATAGTGTGGGACTCTTGGCAAAGGTGCATGTGGGACGAGACATGGGGAGGGCACAGGGCACTTGAAGGGTCATTATTCTGGAGAGCTAGGCATGAGGCTGGCATTCCCCGTCTGCAGGGATGGGTTTCCCACCACCCCTCATCACAGCCCCTCTCCCCACTCCCCTAACCCCTACTAAAGCAATCTGTTTTAAGGGGCTCTATGTGTGTCCATTCACAGCTGTACTGTGCTACAATACGACTGCCACCAAGGTGCAAACGGTCACAGTTACTGAATACGACCCTGCAAGTAGGTGACTTGGTTGGGGGGCCTCCAGGGAGGGCAGGGGAAGGCAGACCGTGTGCCTGGTTGCCTAGTCACTGCAACTTCTCCATTCCCCACAGAGGAATGCCGGGAGAGGGCTGGAGATGATTACGCTGCCTACTTCTTCGTGGAGTACAAGGAAGAGAAACCGAACTGCATCAACCGCTGTATGCCAGGCTTCAACAGATCCCTGAACTGCAACTTCGGGAAGTGCCAGCTAGACCGCAGTGGCCCTCGGTGCTAGTGAGTGTCCCTCCCCAGCCTGGCTCTGTCCTTCCTCCCCACCCTTCAAGACCTTGCCTAAAGGCCAAGTCATGGAGTGGGTCCTGGCCTCTCTTGAATGCAGGCAGCCACAAAGGACCCATGTAGCCAGAGCCCCAAGGCCAGGTCCAGAACAGGCCTCAACAGCTCTCCTCCCCTCCCCGGGGTTTGTGCAGTTGAGACTAAGGACTGTGCCAAGCTCTAAAGAAACAGAAGGAAAGCCCCAGCTTCAGGAAACTCCCAGTCAGATGGGGAGGATAGAACCTTGCTTCCAGGGGGAGACCATACTGATGAAATGAGAAGGTGACCCACCCACACGGGGAGGGTGGAAAGCCTGTAAAAGCCCGAGTCCCAGGCTTTGCCCACTGAAATGAAATCAAAGAGCAATCAGGGGGAAGAAGTCACACATATGCAAAGGCCTGAGCAGATGTTCTGGTTCTGGGAAAGTTTTCTGAGCGAGGATTTTGCAGGCTGGTGTGGGGAGGAGAGGAACAGGGCTTAGAAAGGGTATCTCCAGGGAGGGGAGGGAGCTTCGGAGGCAGAGTGTATGCTGGGGATCGGGGATGGGGATTTGCTTTTCCTGATAGAAAGGGAAAGGCTGAGAATGTGATGGCTAGTGTGTGGATAAAAAGGTTGCTGTTGGGGTCTCAAGTTCCTGGGTACAGCCCAGGGCAGCACCAGAGGTGGGCCAACTGCTCTAGATCCTGGGCTGCAAAACCTAAAACTATTGGGCTGAGTATTGGGCCTCTCTTAGGCCCATGCCGTGGAAGCTGGACTTTACCTCTGTCCGTCCCCTCAGGGCTCCTCGTTCTGGACCCCAGCAATGTCGTTTTCACCCTCTCCTCCTCTTCTGCACTCATGGGGTCAGGGCTGGATCTGAGGCAGGGAGATTGTGGGTGTTGGCTGCCCCTGACTCAGAATCCTCCGTCTCTCCATCTGCCCCCTCTGTCCATCTCAGCTGCCTGACCACGGACACTGACTGGTACAGTGGTGAAACCTGTGAGTTCAGCACCAAGAAGAGCCTGGTGTATGGGCTTGTGGGGGCAGCTGGTGCCATAGTGCTACTCGTCCTTGTTGTTCTCTTGATGTTCATGTTCCGTTCCAAGAAGGAGTTGAAAAGGTGAGTCACTGCTGCTACCTCTCCCATTTGCCTCCAGCTCCTCTTCCTCCTTTTCTGATCCCTCTGCCCTCAATCATTCATCCTCAGGGTGGACAGTGGGAGAGCGGAAAGGAGGGACATAACCAGTCCCCAAATCCTGGTTCGCTGCTCATCACGGAATCTCTCTGGTGTTTCTGTCAATAGGCAAAAGTCTAGAGTGTTTCAGTTGTATAAGTGGCATGAAGAAGATGGAGGACCAACCCCTGGAACTTTCCGAAACATTGGCTTTGACATCGATGAAGGTATTGGAAGTCCTCAGTGCGCTCAAAATGTTTCAAAGTGTGGAGACACACATGGGAGGCACACGGGAGGACTTAAAAGAGCAAAGAGAATAGTATTTTCATCTCTAAAACATTGGGTTCCACATTCGTACCCCTATTTCCACCTCTGGCTCCTGCAAAGCCCTGGATGAAGTGTAGGCATGGGCACAGCAGAACTAGATCACTGGGGGGCACGAGTTGCTTGATGGTCTAGATTTCTCCAGAACACAAACCTGCCTATGTGGACCCGGATAGGCACCTAAGAGTAGGTGAGCTCGCTGGTAGGTGATTTATAGCTCAGACAAGTGATTAACTGCAGATTTTGTCAGGTTAAATGTATGTGTTAAAATTTCTACAGATTGAGTCTTTGCATTCCAAAGAAGGGAAGAATGGAACGAGGAAACCATTTCAGTCAATCCACAAAAAAGCAAGAAAGGGGGAACAGATGATAAGGAAAGAGATGACTAATAGGAAGCACAAAATAAGATGGTAGAAAATAGGGTGCTGGGTGGCTCAGTTGGTTAAGTCTCTGCCTTCGGTTCAGGTCACGATCCCAGGGTCCTGGGATCGAATCCTGCATTAGGCTCCCTGCTCTGCAGGGAGCCTGCTTCTCCCGCTCCCTCTGTCTCTCTCAAATAAATAAACAAAATCTTAAAAAAATAAAATAATCTACCATAACAACAACAACAAATATAAGTGGATTAAACACTCCAGCTGAAAGAGGGAATTAAAAACAAAATCTAGCTATTTTCTGTGAATGAAAGGCAGAGCAAAGATGAAGGCATAAGCATGGAAAAGGACAAAAAGGAGAAATACTAGCCCTGCAGTGGGTGGGATTTATAGGGAGAGATGGGAGATTGTCTTCCTAACCAGCTGCTTCCATGGGGCTTTCTTCCCTTCCAGCTCAAGATGACGCCATCCACTTGGACTCCATTTATAGTAACTTCCAGCCCTCCCTGGACCACATAGATTCTGAAACACAGGTAAGAAAGGCATAGATGAAGCGCTCACCTCCCCCTGCCCTGAGACCCCATATCCTCTCCTACCATGGTAAGATCTTCAGGAAAGCGAAGTCATGTTTATGGTTGTTAGTCTGGGTGACATCTAGGTCTACATTGCTGGGAAATGAACATTAACTTGGGGTGGCAGCAGGTGGAGGAGAAGGAGCTAAGCAGCAGGGTGGAATCTACCTTCTCTAGATACCTGAGGTTCCAGGTTCAGAGATTTCTTTCCACTCTAATTTTTAATTTTCAAACCCACATAAAAGTCAAAATAGTAATGCACTAAATACCCCGCCTAGATCATCAATGTTTAACATGTTGCTACATTTTCATTATATGGCAAGGTATATATATACATATATGATATACATACCCAACAAATTTTGCTGGACCATTTGGAAGTCAGTTGCAAACATTATGACATTTGATAAAATGATAAAAGTGATAAAACACTTCAGTACACACCCCCAAATCCCACTAGCATTCCCAATAAGTTGATAATTCCACAATATCATCCAATATCCATTTTTCTAATGAACCCAAAAACATCTCTTATTCCATAGTTTTTTCAAATATGAACAAATTTCACTCACTGACTTTTGTTGTGTCATGTTGGTCTTTTTAATCTAGAACTGATTCCTACCTTTTAAATATATTTATTTTTTTAAGAATCTAGGATGATTGTCTTAAGGAATGCCCCACATTTTAAATATATCTAATTATTTCCTCATGGTGTCCTTTACCTTGTCCCTCAAGCCTCTGTACTTCCTATAAACTGGCAGGCCTGGAGGCTTGATTAGACCCAGCTTAGACATTTTTCTTAAGCATATGTCAGGGATAATGCTACTGCATCACCTCAGGGGGTACATAATGTCAGGATGTCCCACTATGATTGAGGCCAAGATTGGCACTTGGCAAGAAGTGACCACTCATTGATTGCCACCTTAATTTTGTTTCAACTGGATGGATGTTCCAGGGCAGAAGAAATGCTCTCAAAGTATTCACACTTCCGAAGAAGTATGATTGGATTCATGCACCTTTCTCCCTAGGGAAAGCCTTGGGGCAAAGATAAACTCCTTAGCTAGAATGCCTTGAAAGCTACTTAAGTTAGGGGTAAGTTGGGGGAGACAGTTGATTTGTACTAGATTCTAAGCTGAGCACTTTCCCAGTCCCAAGGCTCTTATGTTTCCAAATCCCAGGTTCCTTATAAACCCAGCCCTCACCTGGTTCTCTCTCTCTCTTTCCAGATCAAAATTCAGAGGCCCCAGGTGATGATGACGTCAATTTAAGGCAGTTTCACATGGAGCTGTGGGGTCTGGGAGTGAGGAGAGCTTACTTTGTCTAAGCCTGATGGAAATTTTCCCCATTGACAGCATTCATGGAACCAGATGAAAAACAAAACCTGTACCAAGGAGGAAGGGGGGAGAGAATACAGTGCTAGAAAACTCTCAAATACAAACACCATGGAAACTCCGATGGGCTTCTTATGATCTCAGGCGAGGCGCTCCTGTTCATACAGGGAAGTTCTTCCTCCTGCCTGCCTTGTTTCAGCACCAAGGACAGCATCTGAATCACCTATTAACCGGCAATCACTTAAACATGGGACTGAAATTTACGTTATACAAAACCTCTTGCAAGACTTATTGTACTTCATTTTCATAAAAAAATGTTTTAAACGATTCAGCATTTTCTTGGAGTATATAGGATTATAAGTATTTTAAAAGTTCTAATATTTACCTATCGGTTCTGATTTTTTATTAGTCCATATAATATATATTTCTAATAACTAAAAACAATAAAAGCAAATTTATTAAATTTTTCATGGTTCCCAGTTCTTTCTTCAGCTGATACCCTATACTGGTTCCTGTTTCTCACTTGCCAAGCTCTCTCGCCTCCTCTCCCTCAGGATGTAGGGTCTGATGAATTTGGCCTCAAGATGAAAAGAAGAAAATCTACAGCCAGAAAGTGTACCATTCTTGCTCTTCCCCAGCATCACTTGCTGGCCACTGAAGATGCCATAAAGCAAGACTCACACATACTCCCATGATACTGGCACTCCCAACTGGGAGAGAACCAAGTTCTTCTTCTGGAAATGGGCTTACGTTTCTTTCCATAGATTTGCAGAGATAGAGTCTTGGGTTTTATTTCCAGCTTTCTCACCCACTCCCTGTGTTAAGTCTGGGAAAAGTCATATTTGACAATTTGGACTCAGACTTGTCTTACTTGTCTTTTGCTAAGGACTACGTTCTTCCTAAAGTCCCCTTATTGCAGTCATTTTTAACACATTTAGGATGATTTATTATGATTCCGGCCATGCAGCTCAGGATTTATTTTGTTCTGCAAGGTGTTTCCCACAGGCTACCCCATTTAAACCTTAAGCTTAAAACAGAGCCTAGGCTCTGCTGCCCCCTCATGATCACTTGGAGCATCTGCAGGCACCGTTCAGCTCCAGGCCATCCCCTCCTTGCCATCCCTCCCCATTGGAAAGCCATCAAAATCCCCAGCTCTTAAAACTGGGCTTAGTCCATTTGGGCTGCCATAACAGAATACCATAAACTAGGTGGCTTATAAACAACACACGTTTATTTCTCACAATTCTGGAGGCCAGGAAGTCCAAGATCAATGTGCTGACAGGTTTGGTTCCTGGTTCACAGACAGCCATCTCTTTGTTGGTGTCCTCACAGGGCAAAAGGGGTGAGGGAACTCTCTGGGGGTCTCTTTTATAAGAGTACTAATCCCATTCAGGAGCGCTCCATCCTCATGACCTAATCACCTCCCAAGGGTCCCCACCAGCTAACATCATCACATTGGAGATTAGGTTTTAACCTCTGAATTTGGGGGTGAGGGGAGACAAACATTCATTTTATAGCCCAGGCTGAATCTAGATGTCTTCCTTTTCAAATCTGCTTCCTGCTTCACACAGACCAAAGCATCAGTGGTCATGGAGGGGCCATTTAAAAGAACTGCAGACCCCACATCCAATCTAGAACCACGCTATCCACCTCAAATCCTTCCTGCTCTTTCCTCACATCTGCTTCGTGGAGAGGCAGGATACAGTAACTAGACACGTAGTTGGTCTGGGTCAATTCTTGGCCAGCCACTTACTACCTGAGTGAACTCGGGAAAGTAACTTCTCTCTGGACCTCTTATCTGAACCACTCCCTTTGTGCCAATCACCATTGTATATTTTAACCCATTTATTCCTTACAACCCTATAAAGTGGGAACTATCATTACCCCATTATACAGATGAAGGAGTCAAGGCAAAGACACATCCTGTCACTTGCCCGAGATGGTGTAGCCAGTGGATGTGAACCTGGAGTTACAAACCAGGGAGTCTGGCCATCAAGCCTGTGTTCTTGACCATCAGTTACATGCCCTTCCCGTGGGACCACTCTTGGGATTAACTGGGTTAATACATGTAGAGTGCTTGGAAAAAAGCCTGGCACATAGAAATTTCTTGGAAGGGAGGAAGGAACATTAGTTACTGCTCCATCAGCTTCTTCCCTCACATTTCTCTCCCTAGTATTCCTTCTCTTCCTCTCATCTTCCAACCATAGAAGAGCCATGGGCTGCACTGAGGGCAAGATGAAACGAAGGCCATGTTATTTTGCAGAAACAGGGAAATCCAAAGGCACAGAGATGCACAAAAGAAGACTGGGAGTGGAAACACTAGGTGTGAAGAGGAGGGTCTGTTGGGGCTTAAAGGCAAAAAGGAATTTGGGAACCACCCCTCCAGGCTCACCTTTGGTCACCTGCATCACCCCCACAGTTACGTGGTTCCACGTACTATTACTACTCTTGGGTGCTTCTCTTGCCCTACCTGTGGGTCTTTATGGCTTCACCTCTGACCCAGCCCATTGCCTTGTCAACCTCATGCCTGACCCCCCTGTGGCTTGCTCTCCTGCCAATCACTGCTTCCTGTGCAGCCACTGGCTCCTTCCCAATTGTGCCGTTCACCTGCTCAAAAACCCTGATATCCTCACCCTCTTATTAAAGCAAGATCCATGCTCCTCAGTGTCTTCAAGGTCCCTAGAGTTGACTCCATCTCTCCCTTACCTCTCCACCTCAGGCTCCAGGAGCTCTACGACCCCACTGCATGGACGGATGAAATGCCACCCTCTCCCCTCGGCTGCTTCTTCAACCTGCAATGCCCTTTTTACACCTTCTTCTTTAGAACCTGACTCATCCTGAAGCTCCAACTTCACCTCCTCCAGGAAGCCCTCTGTGATAGAACCCTTTACAATCTCTCATCTGTGACTCCTTGTCTTAGTCAGTGTGGGTTGCCGTAACAAAACACCAACGCTGTGTGGCTTAAACAACAGACATATATTTTCTAGAGGCTGAAAGCCCAAGATCAGAGTACCAGTGAGATCATGTTCTGGTGAGGGCTCTCTTCTTGGTTTGCAGACCTACCTACTTCTTTCTGTGTGCTCACAAGACTGCTTTATTTGTGCGCGCGCGCGCGCGCACACACACACACACACACACACACACACACACACACACACGGGGCAGAGGGGGAGGGGTGTGGGTCACATGAAAGCAAGCTCTCTGGTGTCTCTTCTTTTTTTTTTAATTTTTTTTATTTTTTTAAAGATTTTATTTATTCATTTGAGAGAGAGAGAATGAGAGAGAGCACGAGAGGGAAGAGAGTCAGAGGGAGAAGCAGACTCCCTGCCGAGCAGGGAGCCCAATGTGGGACTCGATCCTGGGACTCCAGGATCATGACCTGAGCCGAAGGCAGTCGCTTAACCAACTGAGCCACCCAGGCGCCCTCTGGTGTCTCTTCTTATAAGGGCACTAATTCCATCAGATCGGTGCCCCATCATCTAACTCCTACTTCCCAAAGTCCCTGCCTCCAAATACTATTACACTGGGGGGTAGGGCTTCCACATATGAATTTTGAGGGGATACAGACACAGTTTATAGCACTCCTTAAGACAGTTGTGTATAGTTATGTCATGTTCATAATTTTCTCTACATCTCTGTCCCCACATGGGGAGGATGTGGCTTTGTTCCCCTCCATACCCCCAGAGTGCCTAACACAGTGCCTTGCGCATCGAAGATGCTATTAATGCCTGTTAAACTTAATTGAATCAAGACTCATTTTCACAAAGCCATCCTTCTCGGAACTGAATTCTTATTTGTTTTCTGATTGCTTCATGCATGCCTATGTCTGTTAAAAAAAAAGAAAGAAAGAAAAGAAACAACAGGCCCCAAATGGAGTCACTCATTCTAGGCCGATGTCAGCAAACTAAGATTTAACACCTAACCTAATTGCAGTGTTAGCCTCTCCCAGGACTGTGACCTTTAACCAGCCAATCTGGAATTCTCTGATCAGCACTAGGGAGGTGATCTGCCATATAGACCCCTGCTCTTCCTGCAAATGGGGTGACCTTGCCTGAAACAATCCACTCTTTGTTAGAAACTTCCCTTTCTGCCCCCTTCTGCCTATAAAAGCCTTCCATTTCGAATTGCTCCTTAGAGCACTTTTCTATTTGCTAGATGGGTTGCTACCCCATTCATGAATCATTGAATTAAGCCAGTTAGATCTTCAAATTTACTCAGTTGGTTTCTTTCTTTCTTTCTTTTTTTTTTTTAACATTTTCTGGTCCTATGGAAAGCACCATGTTCTTTTTTTTTTTTTTTTGAGAGAATTTGACCCCCCTCCTTTTTTTTTGACAATCTCTACACCCAACATGGGGCTCAGACTCACAACCCTGGGATCAAGAGCCGCATGCCCCACGGACTGAGTCAGCCAGGCGCCCTGGAAAGCATGTTCTGGAGCCAGCCAGAGAATTTAGCTCAGACCATGCATGCCAGAGCCTCTCATACACCCTGGTTTTCTCCTTTTCTCTCACGGCTAAACCTTTCCATCTCTGGAAGAGATCAAGACAGGAAGAACGGCAGCAGAGGGCCTGGGTTTGGGAGTAAATACGGCATCCCAGTCTCCCTCCTTGGCTTTCTGTGGGTCTTTCCAAGTCATTTCCAGTCACCCAAAGACACTGGGGGTGGGGCAAGTGTGAAATGAGGCTGGAAGTTGGAGGGCCATTCCCTGACGAGAAACTAAGACTAACACGACTATCCTGCCCTCAAAATGTGTGGTGATACGGGAAATAATTTTCCAAGGCACCCTCTAAAACTCAGCTCTCTTACAGGCAAGATGATAGTATAGGCTTTTGGAAAAACAGTAACACATCCAGAACCCCAGAGATTTTACTGGATTGGGAAGACGGGACAGTTGTGTTTTGCTGCTGAGGGTGGTGTGACTCTGGCGTTTAGATTACACCCCCAGGTTGGGCAGGCCTGATTCATCTGTGATGATACAGCAGGTGGGCGAGCTGGCGGCTGCCTAAGTCTGGCTGCCTGACAAGAGACAGGGCTCACAGGGGAGCCAAGCAGCGAAGGAAATTTACTGCGTGTTGTAGCCAGGGAAAGTGGAATTGGACCTGGGTGATAATCAGCCTGATTAGCTTGGTGCCTCCTGGAGGGAGCCAAGGGCGGGGGAGGCAGGGCAGGGCGGGGGCAGGAAGAACAGGTCAGCCAGCATTAAGGTGGAGGCCCAGAGGCTGGGGTTTGCTGAGGTCAGGAACCGGGGCCCAGAGAAGTCCGTGGAGCAGCAAACCCAGAGAAAATGAGTCTAACACCCAGTCATCGGTGTTAAATTAAAAAAGA